AGGTGAGACGTGGGGACGGTCCCCAGGCGAAGGGGGAGGAGGTGCAGGGGTGACCCCCTCACTCCGTGGGGATGTTTTGGGGTCCCCCCTGCCCTCCCCGCTGTGACGCTGCCCCCCTCGCATCCCGCAGTGAAGGTGAAGAAGCCCATCCAGACCAAGTTCCGCATGCCCGTCTTCAACTGGGTGGCCCTCAAGCCCAGCCAGATCGACGGCACCGTCTTCACAGAGCTCAACGATGAGAAGGTGCTGCAGGTGAGGCCACCGGCACCAGCTCCCGGCCGGAGCGGCCCCCGGGCCACCTCATCCCCTGCCCGCATCTCAGTCGTGCCCGCGTTGCTCCCATCCATGCAGTCAATGCCTTGCACGGCTCCAGCCTTGGAGGAGCCTCGGAGCAGGTCTTTGGTGTCCTGGAGGGGGACAATCTGGGATCTGCCATGTCCTTGTCCTGTCCTTGTCCCCTTGCCCCATCCTCATCCCTTTGCTCCATTTTGATTTCTTGCCCTGTCTTCATCTCCTCACCCTGTCCATGTTTTCTTGCCCCATCATCGTCCTCTGGCCCCTTGTTCCTCTCCTCACCCCATCCTTGTCCGCTCACCCTGCCTCATTCCCTCACCCCATCTTCATCGTATCCATCCAGCTCCTGCGGCCCCTCCGGGCTGTGTCCTCAGCCCCGTCTCCCCGCAGGAGCTGGACATGAGTGACTTTGAGGAGCAGTTCAAAACCAAAGCCCAGGGCCCTGGCCTGGACCTCACTGCCCTCAAGGTCAAGGCTACGCAGAAGGCCCCAAGCAAGGTGACTCTCATTGAGTCCAACCGGGCCAAGAACCTCGCCATCACCCTCCGCAAAGGCGGCCTCAGCGTCCAGGACATCTGCACAGCCATCGAGACGTGAGTGTCCCCTTGCCATCGAGGCCGGGCTGGGCACAAGGATGGAGGACAGAGTGGGGTCAGATGGCACTGCAGACCCCAGACCCCTGAGCAAGGGAGGGTTGTGCACGGATCCGCCAGGATGCTTTGGATCTCCACACTGGGTGACAGCAGACTGTGGAGGAAGGTGGCGGGGGCAAAGGGGGTGTCCCCACCACACACTGTCTCCTGCCAGGTATGACCAGCAAGCCCTGAGCCTTGACTTCTTGGAGCTGCTGCTGCGCTTCATGCCCACTGAGTACGAGCGGACACTCATCTCCAAGTACGAGCGGGAGCAGCAGCCGCGGGGGGAGCTCTCTGACGAGGACCAGTTCATGCTCAGGTTCAGCAAGATCCCACGCCTCTCTGAGCGCATGAACGTCATGATCTTCCTGGGCAACTTCAGCGACACGGCCCAGCTGCTCATGCCGGTAGGGCCGGGCACGCGGACCCTCCACGTGGCAGAGCCCGTGGGCAGCGCGGGGGCTCTGGGGTGGTTGTGGTGGGCAGAGAGGGGACAGCAGAGCCTCACGGGCTTCCCCTGCCGCCCGCAGCAACTCAATGCCATCATCGCCGCCTCCATGTCCCTCAAGTCCTCCACCAAGCTGCGCAACATCCTCGAGGTGAGGGCTAGGGCTGTTTGGATGCATCTGGCCTGGTCGGGGGTGCTGGAGCTGGGGGGGGGGTGGCCCCCCAGCCATCCCAGCGCTGCCCGAGCCCCCGTGTCCCCACAGATCGTGCTGGCCTTCGGGAACTACATGAACAGCAGCAAGCGCGGGGCCGCCTACGGCTTCCGGCGCGCGAGCCTGGTTGCGGTGATCTCGGGATCCTCCGCGGCTCCTGCTGTGCCGGGCGGTGCCATGGGGGCGGACGCGCTGCCACCGCACGAGGAGCAGCTGCAGGGACGGAGGGACACACGAACGGGGACAGCTATGGAGAGACCAGCTGTGGGCATGCAGGGACAGAGGGGCATCTGTGTGGACAGATGGATGCAAGGGCCAGCGATGGGGATGGAGGGATGTGGGGACCAGGTGTAGGGACATAGGGACACAGGGACCAGCCCTGGGGACAAAGAGACATTTGGACCAGCTGAAGAGATGGAAGGATATGGGGGGCACCCGTGGTGATGGAGGGATGCAGGGACCAGTCTTGGGGATGGATGGACCTGGGAACCAGCTGCAGGGACAGAGGGATGCAGCGACCACCCCGTGGTGGCAGTGGGATGTAGGACCATTCGCAGGGACAGGGGGTTGCCAGGGCCTGCCTGGGGCAGGGGCAGCTGGAGAGGCAGGAGGAGGGACAGGGCACCCCGGCCTGATGCCCCTCACTCCCTCCCAGCTGCTGGAGATGAAGTCAACGGATCGGAAGCAGACACTGCTGCATTACCTGGTGCGGGTGATCACGGAGAAGTACCCGGAGCTGACCGGCTTCCACACGGAGCTGCACTTCCTGGACAAGGCGGGTGC